GGTATATACAATAGTCAGAGCCAGCCGGCACCAGCACAGCCATGGCACCGCTGCCCCACACCACGGAAGAGCCCGGGTTGGCTGAAACTTCTCCACCGAATTGGACGGGGAATGAATTTGCAGCTGACAATGGAGGTTTTTCACCAGGCATTTTTGCAGGCCCGGGTTTGGAAACCCAAAGAGGCTCCTATCCGCTTGGCCAAAAACTGAAGAGTTTCAATTCTGGCCAAGCAAGGAGACGGGCTGTTGTCGTCGCAATGCAAACACGGCAAAGTTGGCTCTAGCTTGTGCGGCTTCTTGCCAGTCAGATCCAGACCTGGAGGAATGAGTGGTAGCTACGGGGGTTATTGCAGCTGTCACTCACCCCCCGTCCCCAACCAAGCGCTGTACCCCGGGTTTTGTCAGCCGAGCGCTTGCCCACAAACCCGAGCATAGCCCCCCGCCTCCATCCCTGCTCTCCTGGCTACCCGTCGCCAGCCGTAAGCACCGTGTTGCAAACACCCTGGGGAGGGAACACCGCGTCCCCTGCGCGTCTCTGGCCTCCCAAAGCAAACAACCTTCGCTTGCTGGGACTCGTGCCCCCCCACCATGTCCTGGAGGTGACAGTTTGCTGACCGGCCTTTTACGTCTTTAAAGGTTTGGTTTAATTTTACCCTCCCAAGAGGAGAAAGGAATAACTAACCCCTTGCCTCCAGAAATGCAGGTGCCAAGGGTGGGGAGGGTTTGCTTGGGGTGGCAGGTGGACATGCTCCAAGTTGTAGTTATCGGGTGTCCAGGTTGTAGCCGTATTGGTCTAGAGGTAAAAAAAAGCAACCAGGACTCCTGGTAGAGGCAATCTTTTATTAGACCAACTAGATTTTTGCAAAAAAAAAAAAAAAAAAAAAGGTCTTAGTTCTGGTGCTTTACACGCTCATACCTACAACCTGGAGCAGCCAGCTCGAGTGCAGACCACGGTGCCCACCCGTGGCTGGAGAGTGGACTGTCTGCCGTGGCTCATGGGGCTGGGAGCTCTCACCAGTGGGGCTGTCTCTTGGGTACAAGGGGGGTCCTGATCTCTCCGTGCTCCTCTACCACATACGAGTTGTGCGCCACTGGCCAGGAGCAGGCCCTGGTAGCTTGCCCTGGCTTGCAAAGCAGTATGCAGATGTGTGATCATTCGTCCCCCGAGGGAATGGATGCTGAACAAGGCAGGGTTTTCTGGTCAACGGGGGTGGAGAATCAAGCCCCCCAGACACATGCGCACAAGAGCCCTCAAGATGAGACCCTAGCACAGGGAAGAAAGGGGTGACGACAGGCCTTGCACCCCAAGACTTATCCCAGTCGCTCTCAACCAGGGAGCTGGAAGGCCCTTTGAAGGGGGCCACGCAGTGTCAGCACTGGCAGATGTGCCAACACATCTGCACAAATCACACTCGGAGGCATCCAGCGCGCGGGAAACATCCTGCCCGGCTGTGCTTGCCCGGAGCTCTTTGCAACCCAGGAAGGGCTCTAGTATTTTTCTGTCGTGAAAGCGAACAGCGAGTCTAATAACGACGGAGGCCTGGAGTCTAATGAGGATGCAAATCTCAGGCTTCAGAGAGCCCAAGCGGCCACAGCGAGGGTCTGAGGCCTGGCATAGGGACCTGCCAGTGCTTGGCTCTGGGCGTCCCACCTGGGCCCATCGCCTGCTCCTTTTGGAGTCTCTCCAAGCTCGGGGAGCTGGTTGCACAACCCGCACCTGGGTGGGCGGTGGGGGCCCTGGGGCTTGCATGAGTCACGCTGGGACGTGATGTTATCTCCCAGCGACTCTCCCCTTTGGGGGCTATAACCCCTTCCTGCATGGGACCGGGGTGATGCAGCCAGCAAGAGCACCTGGGACGCTGCGCCTGGCTGCACAGACCCCCCAGCAGGCCTTCCCCGAGGGGTCCCGGCTTGCGGCGAGCTGCCCTTGGAGGGATGCACATCCACACTTTCTCTATTTCCAAGCTTTCTCCACGCCAGGCCGACAGGAAAGAGGAGTCTGCTCTTAGCACAGTTGGGTCCACGTGAGCCTTATTCTGTGGTGGTGCCCAGCCCTGGTGCTGGGTCTCCGTCCAGCCAGGAGTTTCACCCGTAAAGGGAAGTCACTGATCTGCTCTGCCCCGTGACACACGGCCTGGTCTAGGGGCTTTGGGTACGGGCAGACCTAGGGTTTTGAAAGGGGGGTTGTAGGTGAGGTGCATCCTGGCATCCAACACGACGCCTATTTTTCTCCAGTTCAGGAGAAACTGGAAACCTTGCTGTTGTGCTAGGGGGCTGGCGCTAATATTATGCATCTTAAGATCAAAGCAGAAACCAAGGTAACTACTGGCAAGTGCACTCATTTAGCTCATAGATGACATTTAAAAACAAACCACAACAAACTAGGCTGGATATTCTGCCCCGTAATCATTATACTTAAATGTACGGCTCTTATTCAGATTCCCCAGGCAAAAATCAAGCTTTCTTTGGTGTCTTGAAAATGCCTCCGATACTTCACTGCCAGTCATTTCTGCACCTGAAGTAATACGACCACACCTGAGTTCAGGTTTCTAGCAGAGCTAAAAACCAGTCTGCAAGGCTATGAAATAAGAGAGGCGTTATCAGGAATGGCTAACAGGCAGCCAAGGAAAGGGTATGTGTAGAAGAGGAGTGGAATAGCAAGACCATTGTGAAGGAGAGAGGGTGGTTCACACGGAGGGAGTGGAGAGAGATTAGCAGGAATCCGGAGGAGTCCCCAGACAGGGACCGCAACGCACTCTGCAAACACCGCGGCGCTGGGGCCGTGCCAGGGTGAGCGATGCAGCACCGCCCTCGTGCGAGACTCGAGGCACAGCGCAGGTTACCCGGCGCCGCACGACGGGCTAGCGACGGAGCTGGGGCAGAACCAGGCGTGCGGGAGGCCTCTCGCTGGCTCTCACCAAAGGTGGTCCAGCCTGGGGGTGTCGGGTAAAAGCGCCTGCACAGCCGAGAAACCAGCTCAGCGGCAGGGGCCGGCCCACGGCTCCTCGATAAGCGAGAGCAAGGATTCATCCCGCCTGGTGCCCTGGGGTCTTCCCTCTCCCCGGCTGGCGCTGTTAGCTCAGGGACCTGCTGGCTTGTGAGATCGTGGGCACTGCTAGCTGCAGCCACTTCCCAGAGCCACAACCCTCGTGCAGTCCCAGCCCTGCCGGCACCAGGGAGACGACAGTCACCTGGAGATGGTGAGGCTGGTGCATGCATGGGACAGCAGCCAGGCAGACCCAGCGACGTGCAGAGGGGGAAAAAGCGCCTGGGGGAGCCCAGCACAGCAAGAGCAGCCGCTCCCCACAAGCCAGCCAGGAGCCCGGGCTGAGCTGCGGCAGGAGGACAACTCTGCTCCCCCCCACCCTGGTGGCAGTACCAAGCATGCCTTCTAAACAGACTGGCCCAGGGCCGGTGGGAAACGAACCCAGGAGTCCTGGGGGCAAATCATAGCTTTTGGGCTAGCCAGCATCATGCCGGGGGCACACGCTCACCTAGCTCTGGCCTGTTGCTCTCTGCCGTCACCCCCATGGTCCTGGGGGGATGCTTCTGGGTCCTTGTGATGTGGCCCGAGGAGCTCAGGGCAGGTCTAGGGGCTCACGGAGATCTTCCCAGAGGGCTCTGGCTCCAGCAGGTCCTTCTTCCCACCTCCCAGGAGCCAGTGCAGGCCCATCCTCTCCAGCGCGCCTTGGGGGGCTTTCTCCAGTGTGCCCAGGGAGGGAGCTCCCCGCACGGCCCTCACCACACCGTCCCTCACCCTGGGTCTTGTGCCAGCCCTGTGCTCTGTCCAGGTCGCACCCTGCAGACCTGGGGGTCACTTGCAGCTTGGCCTCTGGGCTCGGCCACTCTGGGCAGCCCCGGCTGCCCACTCAGGTTCAGTCCCTTTGCAGTACTGACCAGCTGGCAGCTCCACAACACCCGGGACGGGGCAGAGCTGCATCCCCTGGCTGGGAAACTCTCCCCTCGGCTTCCAGGCAGGTGGATCACCAAGCATAAGGCAGCCTCTTCTTTCCCCTCCTTGCCGTACACCTTCAAACAGCTGGTGCCAGGACCTGATTGTATCCTTGGGGACCCCCGGGGCTGGAGTGGCGAGGGGGGTGCGGCCATGAGGGCTAGAACAAGCTTGTAAGACCTTGGCTTGGATAGTGCAGCCTCCCTTGCAGGGGGCTGTGGGCAGGGATTGAGGGGTCACTGCCTACGCTCTCTGCCCTCTGGCCCCGCTTCCACGGAGGGTGGACACTGGAGGAGACACCCTGGCTCTCCCAGGTCCCTGCCACGTGTTAAGTATATAATGCAATTCATGGGTCAATCATGCAATAAATGTAGACCAGCGGCACGTGCAAAATCATTATCAGGTCATACAAATGGCCGTCCAGCTACAAAGTTGGTGCTTGAAAACGTGACAACTTGGTAGCTGGCTTCTATCCAGCTTTCATTTGAATGCGTGGCAGGACCCCCACCTGTGATCCCAGGCCAGGAGGCTGATGGGCAGCAGCTCTGGCATCTGCCAGTGCCACAAAGCAACGTGGCATGGCAGCTTCTTGTGTGCCCTAAGAGCACCCCAGCCAAACGCCCATGACCCCAGGCAGGGGAACAGGTGCTGATGGAGCCACACTGGGGAGATGGCCTCATCCCATTCCTGGACTGTACCCAGAGGTGCTGCATCCCCTGGGTGAAAGGCTGTTAATGTGGATCAAGCACCGGGCTGAGGGAGGATGGGACTGGAGCCGTAAGGCTGCTGGGGCAGGAACCATGCACCTGGGCTAGGACGGGAAGGGAGCAGGCCGGGCACTGAACAGGACACGACAGTTTCCCTTGGTCAAAGTGGTGCTGGCTTGGCCACACCTGGCCCTTACCCCCAAGCAAGCCTCGCTAGGCCAAGCTTCCCGGAGGGGCTGGAAGGTGAAGGGGCCCGGTGCCACGTGATGTTCGGGACAGGGGCCGGCTCCAAGGGAGGAAGGATCCGTGCACAGAGCCAGCCACACCATGCACTGCTCCTCTCCAATAGAATATTTATATAGATATAGAGATGTATATATTAAAATTACATTTCTCTTTACAAAAGCAATTCCACCACGGGCTCAGGGCATAGCTCAGCGGGGCCCAGAGGGCGCCTCGGCAGTCCTGGCCCTGGCCCTCGCTCCGCTCTGCCCTGCCCCGGGGCCCTCTCCCACGCCGGCAGGGGCTCCATCCAGAGTCCAGCAGCGGGTCCCGCAGCGGGTGGGGTGCAGACAACCCCGTGACTGCATCTCGGGCAGCGCCCGCTCCACATCAGGCTCCTTGGCTTCCCCATGCCACTGTCACCGCCTGCAGAAGCAAGGACAGTGGGTCAGCAGGGAGTAAGATGCAGGCCTGATCCTGAGGCACAGCACCCTCCGTGGGGCCTCACAGGATCAGGCCCCCGGCAGCTTGCTCCTGTCCCGTGCCTCTGAGCCCAGCCCATGCTGCGGGCAGGCGTGCTAGGAGCTGTACAGAATGGCCATGCCCACGGCACCCTGCCACAGAGCCAGGCTCTGCCCCTTCCACCCCCAACCCGAGAGGTGACCGGGGGCGCGTTCACCCTGCCCAGCAGAGCAGGGGCTGGCTTGACCCTCACAACCACCACACACAGATAGACGCAGTCAGTCTCTGTGGCCCTTATGGCCTGTGGCCTGCGCCGTGGCTGTGTCAAGAGGCCACCAAGCAGCCCAGGTTTCCTGCAGCTGCCAGTCATTTCTGTGCAACACGGAGGTGTGGGTGGGATCGGGCCAGGGCCGGAGACTCCCTCACTTGTGGGCAGTCAGTGCAGGGGTGCGGGGCTGGGGCCGGGGGCTGCGTACTTCTGCCTGGCAGTGCTGTAGGGGTCCAGCAGGTGGGAGCTGGCCTGCTCCAGATTCCAGTCGAACATCTCCAGGACCTTGTGGCACTCCACTCGGGACTTCAACCCCAGGCAGAAGAGCTGCTCCACCTGTGAACGACAGGGCCCGGGCTGTCAGTGGATGGCACTGGGGTCTTGGGCATGGATCCGAGCCACGGCAGGCCCGGGCTCCGCAGCTGGCGTCTGAGCAGCGGCAGGGAGGAGTGAGGCCAGCCCAGCCTGGACCCAACAGGGAGGCTGACAGGCAGACGCGGGGGCTGCCACGGGGCTGTGTGTTGTACCCGAGTCAGCCGGGAGCGGTGTGATGCACCCTCCCAGCCCTATTCCCAGGGCCCAAGGGCATGAGCTTGCAAGGGAGCTGAGCCATACCCCCAGCCATACCCTCCACGGCTCCAGTACCACTGCCCGCTACCCTGGAGGATACGGTACCTTCAGGTACTGGATGGCACGCTGGACGTTCCAGCCGTGGCTCTGCAGGGCGGCCTGGCACTCCTCGGTCGTCACGCCGTGCACCGTGTCTTGGACCTGTGGCAGACGCACCCCGTAAATGCCTAGTCCAGCTCACCAGGACCTGAGCTCAGAGCCTGGCGTGGGGCCACGGGACAGGTGGGAGAGGATAATAAGGAGAGGGGGGAAACCGAGGCAGGTATGGATGGGGCAGTGTCTAATGTGCCCACCCTCACGGCCTCTGGGCACAGGCAGCGACTGCAAGGCTCAGCCCTTTTGGCTGGCAGGTCTGTGAACACCAGGCAGGTGGCCCAGGACCTGCCAGGGAAGAGGCTTTCCTGCTTCAGTGTCCCAGGTGCAACCCAGGAGTCCGGACCCGCAGCCTCCTTCCTCTGCCGTCAGGTGCTGTGCCATGCCCTGCCCTGCCTCTCCAGCAGCTGCAACCCCAAGCTGGGACAGCAGGGGGTGCTGCAGGTCCTGGCACCTACTAGGGACAGGAGTAGGATTCCCACCCCCTCCACATGGGGGAAAGCAGCAATGGAAGAACAGGGCCCCCAACCAGCACTGTCAGTGGCCTCCTGACTGCCCACATCCCAGCCCCTTGGGTGCGGGGACTGGCCGCTCCAGGCAGGGGGCACTGATCCCACGCCCCGCGCAGTCCCCGATGGCCCTGCCACACCTTCGAATGAAAGCTGGATAGAAACCAGCTACAAAGGCGTTGCACATTTTCAAGCACTGACTTTGTAGCTGGACGGGCCATACTGACTTTGCATGTGGGGCCGGTCTGCATTCCTTGTGCGACTGACCGGTGAACTGTGTGATATAGGTAATGTGTGGCAGGGGCCTGGGAGTCCCACCCCTCCTTGGTCCAGCTCGCAGCAGCCGTTGCGCTATGCCACAGAGGTGGCTGCAGTGTGGACTCCTCGATCCCGGGGCATAGCCTGGGGGCTCAGAGGTGGGCAACTCCTGGTCCTGGAGAGGCCACAGCCCCAGTGCTGGGTGGGTGACCCAGGGCTAAGGCGTGCCAGGCTTGCTTGGGAGGGTGATGGGCAAGAGCTGGGAGACAGGGTGGATTAACCCCTGCAATGCCAGCCTTGTGGCCATCCCCTGTGGGGCTGGAGATCTCCAGCCTCCAGTGTGTGCCCCCCGCCCCAGGACCCTGCACACATTCCCCTTGGCTGCCCATGGAGACGGAGGGGAAGGACCCAGGTGCTGGGAGCACCCATCACCCAGTCGGGCCTGGACTGAAACTGAAACATCCCCCACCCCCGGCCCCGGCCCTGGGGCAGGAATTTCCCTTTCTTTCCAGCTGGATCCCATGACTCAAGGTGGGCGGAAGGCAGGGGCTGGGCTGTCTCTTCTCCCCCAACACCTGCTCTTTAACCCCGTGCTACCAGGGGATTTCATTTCAGCCCCTCTCTGCCCCCAGCCAGGGCTCCATCATCGCCTCCCCCTTGGGTGCTGGGGGTCTCGGCTCCCCACCTGGCCTCTGGCTCAGGGCTGCCCGGGCCAGTTCCTCCCACCTGGCTTCAGGGAGGGTTGGGCAGTGGGGGTGGGATGCCAGTTCCCAGCACTGGGACATGAGTTGCTCCAGGAAAAGGCCTGTGGCTGAGCAGCAGCTGTCTAGCATGTGCCCGGGGTCTGGGCAGCCCTGCGGCCCCTGCTCTCAGCACCTGGACCACAGCACAGCAAGCCCGGGACACGGGCAGCCCCTCAGCTCAGCGTGGCACAGAGCGCCAGGGACCCCCGACATCACTGTGACGTGGTCTCCCCAGGTCACAGCCCAGCTGCCATGAGGGAAGCCTGTTGCCTCTGGCACAAGCCTGGACCTGGCAGGCCAGGGCATTGCTGCCTAGTGCTGCTGCACAAGGGGCAGACGGCACAAGGGGCAGCGGGCTGGGGCTGGCGGGGATCCAGCTCCAGGCCTCCATCAGGCTCCTGTTTGCCACGCTCTGCCCGTGCTGGGAAACGGAGCTGATTCCTGTCCCCTCTGCCCCGTGCGTGAGCAAGGAGCCAGGGAGGGGTGGGGGTCTGTGCCTGGGCAGAACCTAGTGCAGAGCTGGGGATGGCCAGGCACAGCTCTCCCAGTGCTGCCAGGGCACCCGGAGGCAGCGGCTGCCCTGTGAGCTTGGCTCCAGGCCACCACTGAGGGGAGGGGAGGGGAGGTCATGGAGCTGCAGTGAGCCACTGCCGGGGAATGCCGTCACACCAGCCCATCCTGGCGGGTGTGTCTGCCCCCACCCAGGCTGTGGCTCCCCACGGCTCCGGGTTCAAGGAGGATGGGGCAGAGCTGGCACTGGTATAGACAAGCACCTGGACTGGTCAGGCCTGGCATGTAGCTCTGCATGGCTGCCCCCAGGGCACATGTGAGAAACCCCATGGTGCAGGGGAAACTGAGGCACAGGCAGGGGAAGGGGCTCAGCCTGGGGCCCTCTGGGGGTCTCGCAGCCCTGCCTCCCCATTCAGCTCTGGCAGCCTGGGGGCTCTGGGGGACAGGTGTCTTCCAGCCCCTCGCGGCTTGGGTTAGGGGGTGGCTCTGCTCCGACCGGTCCGCATCCCTCCTCCCCAGCACCCGCGCTCGGCCTGACTCACCAAGCGGATCTTGTCGGAGGGCCGAAAGGTGTCAGGCCCGTCGTAGATGATCTTCTGGAGGCTGCAGGAGGTGCGCACGGTGCAGCGGTTGCTGTTGTTGGAGGAGAAGTTGGCCCGGCTGTCCGGCTGCTGCACCATGGGCCGCACGGTGGCGGTGGTGACCACGCGGGCAGGAGCTGGAGCCAGAGCCGGGGCCGCAGCCGGGGTCTCCTCGGGGCTCTCGACCTTGAGGAACTTTTCGAACTTGTCCAGGTAGGACGGGCGCTCGGGCAGCAGGTAGTAGTGGGTGCTGCTGACCTTCTTGCCATCCTTCACGATGGGCAGGATGCAGGGCCCCCGCAGCCCCTCCTTGCCCTGCGCCTGGATCACCTTGGGGGTGGCGTACTTGGGGTCCAAGGCGAAGCTCTGCGTGGTGGGCATGGGCTTCCCGGGAGAGGTGGAGAGGGTGCAGCCCCGTGGCTGGGGGGACCCTGCCGTCGGCAGGCCGGGGACAGCTCCCCCGACCAGCGCCCATGCTCGTTGCGCCGCAGGAACCGGGGCGGGATGGGCACGCGGGGTGGCACTTGTGGCTTGTCCTCACCAGGGCTGGGTGTGGAGGCTAGAGAGCCGGGCGCCGGGGGCACGTGCAGACGCTTCATGCACTCCTGCTGCAGCTCCTCGAAGATCTCCGTGGTCTGCGACGGGCTGGGCTGCTTGGCCGGCTTCCGGGGCAGGAAGAGGTTATCCTCCAGCAGCAGCGAGCCCCTCTCTGCAGCCACCGCTGTATTCTCTCCCTCGAAGCCATAGTTGGTTTCACCTCTTTCCCAGGCACCGGGAGGCCCTGCCAGCCCGTACTGGGCGGCTCGCGGCCCGCTCAGGGCCTCGGTGCTGTTGATGGAGCACACCTCGAAGTCGTCCTCGTCCTGAGCCACGTCGTCGTAGGCAGGAGGCGGCGGCAGGGGCCGTGCATCCCAGTCTACCACTGGTGTGGGGTGCAGCGGCCTGGGCAGCGCTCGCGCGGGGCTCTGTGGGGGCGTCTTGTCCAGCAGCGAGAAGGCCTCCATGGCCAGCCTGGCGAGGGACGGGGCGCCCAGCTCCCTGCCGGGTGAGGGCGTCAGGGGGGGCAGCTCCTCCTCGAAGTCGATAAGCGTCACCTCGCTGCCCGGTGCCGTGTCCCCCTTTGCCCGGGCGGCCTGGCGCTCACCCACCTTGGTGCCCGGCACACGGGCCGACGGCTTCACTAGTCGCAGCCCCCGCGGCGGGCCCGGCTTCTTCAGGCACAGCCTCTTGAGCCCTGCAGAGAGGCCGTCCTCGTCCTCGCTGACGGGGTCGTACGAGGGCTCTGGAAGGGGGAGCGAGAGTGAGGCCATAGTGGGGCGAGGGCGCCCGAGAGGGACCTGGAGCCCCTCGCCCGGGTGGAGGGAGCTGAGGCGATGCACCTCCAGCCTCAGGGCTGAGGGGACAGGCAGGGCTATGGCCAGGTGCCAGGGGGGCACCGCTCTGCCCATGCCCTTCAGAGCAAGCCTGGGTCCCCCAAAATCCCCCTCCTAGCCCAGCTCCCCACACTCTGCACATGCCCCTTGCTCCCAACCCCCAGCCCCCTGCCTAGCTCTTCCAACCCTGCACCCGCCCAGGCCCCTCCTGAGCCCCGTGCCACCCATGACGGGCTCCGGGGTGCAGGACGAGGCACCCCAGACCCAATTCTCCCTCGTGCCCCAGGGCAGGGTCTGACATAAGGACCCCCGAGCAGCCGGCCCCCTCCTGCCCGTGCCCAGCTGAGCTGGGGTCAGCCTCTGCTTGAGCCAGCGCTGTGCCACTGCCGTCTGGGAGGCAACGTGCTGCATGCATCACCCCCCGTCCCCGTGCTCTCCTCACCCTCCCAGCATGTGGGACGTGCCCCGTGGGCCGGATGCTCCGGCCTCCTACCTGGCCTCACTGCGCCCAACGCCCGAGGCAGGGGGAGGGTTAGTACGTGCAGCACAGAGCACCGCAGTCTCATGCAGTTAGAGCCTGCTGTAGAGACCCCTGATATGCTCGGGGTTGTCAGCTGAGAGGGGGCCAGTCTGGGACCTTGAGGGGGTCATGCATGCTGCAGGGGGAGAGGCCGAGAGTGGCCTGGTGTAGAGAGGGGCTTCTAGGGATCTCCGGGTGTGTGCCCATGGTCTGCCCTTCCCTTCCAGGGCACCGTGGCAGAGCTGGAGTAGGGTCAAAGCCAGAAGACAGCAGCGCAGGGGGCCAAGGAGGAGTCCCTGCAGGCATGAGTGCATCAGAGAAAGCAAGAAGCCCTCTGCCCCCCATGGGGAGCAGCCCTGGGGGTCACTGAGCTGGGCTGCTGCAGCAGTGCCCTTCTCCCAGGTCCCTACTCCCCCTCACGCAGGGGGTTTGGGTGCGTGCAAGGGTCTGCAGGCCTCTCGTCTGTCTGGCCGGCCCCCGGGCTGCGGCTGGCAGGGAGCCCCCCGCCCCAGCACAGGGGTCTCAGGGCAGGAAGCGCACAGCACGCCCTGAGTACCTTGGAAGAGAGGAGCTAAGAGAGAACAGAGAGGGCAGGAGCAGGGCTGGCGGCACGCAGAACAGCCCCACTTACTCTTAAGCAGGATCGTGGGCTGAGGCGGCCGAGGCGGCGGCTCCCCTGCAGAAGAAAGGCCCCGAGAGGACGAGAGAGGAGGGGTTAGTCAGCCAAGCGCAGGTGGTGACGCAGCGGCGCGGTGTCGGCACCGCGGGGTTAACCAGAGAGGGGAGCAGCCTCCACCCTTGCCCCCATCCCCATGGCATGAGCCAGGGGTGCCAGCTGTGGATGTGTAGTGCCAGGCAGAGGCAGGCCTGGGCATCTCTCCTGCTCAAGGGGGCCTCGAGGGGCTTCAGCAGCAGGGGAGCCAGGGGGCTTTCCCCCTTCCTGACAAGCAGCCCCTGGTGATGGGTAGTGACATCCCAGCCTGGAGGCAGCAGTGGCTGCCCTCCAAGGTCTCCTGAAAGCAGGTGCCAGAGGAGAGAGCAAGGAGTGAGAAAAGGAGTGGAAGGCAGCAGAGGCAAGGCTGGAGCAAGGGGGGCTGGAGGAGGCCGCGGCACGGACCACCCCTGACGGGGCACATCCTGGCACACCCCAGCTGGGAGCCCCGGCTTTGCCCAGCCGGGGGCCCTGCTGATGGAGCTGCCCGCCTGTTGTGCGCTGCGCAGCCCCTGGAGACAGTGGCTTCCCGTACACAGCGAGGAGGGGAGCAGGCACCAGGGCCAGGCAGAGAGCACTGCATGCTGGAAGGGGTGGACACGTCGGTGGCTGGGGCCACGCAGCATGGCCAGACACCTGGGGGCTGGCATCGGGGGTGGGGGGGGAGCATCTCTTACTTTTAGCCCTTCCCGGGAGCTGGGTGGGTCTGGCCGCGTTCAGGTCCACGCCTAGAAGGTCTGGAGGGTCCATGGGATTTCCCAGGTACAGCCTGCAGGAGAGAGCACATGGCAGGCACGGGGCCATCAGCGTGGTGTCACGGGGTGCTTGCATGTCCCACCACGGCCTTGCTGGGTGCATGGGGGGGTGGTGTTGGACACCAGGCAGTTACAAAGTGCCAACTGTCTTGGCCCCTCAGGTGGGGAAGCAGCCCCAGGCCCCTCTCCAGAGGCAGGGGGATGTGTGAGCAGCAAGAGTCCCCACTTGCATTGCTCACCCCAGAGATCCTCGCAGCCGGAGTGCCGGAGTAGCTAAGCGACTTGCCCAAGGACAGAGCAGGAGCCAGTGGCAGAGCCAGGAACCTGCCCTGCACCTCCCAAGTGCCAGTGCCCTGCAGTACGGGGTGCTGCGAGATGAGGACACCACCATCCAGGGGCAAGAGGCTCCTGGAGACTGTGCTCAAAGGGCACTGAACACTGCCCTTTCCTCCCCCCACCCCCCCGGGCCAGGTCTCCTCACCTGCCAGGTTGTCTGCCCACCACCCTACATCCTTCCCCATCCCGGCCTGCTGCCTGGGCCAGCTATGCCCTGGGCACCGTTCCCAGGCCTGGCCAGGTCCCGGGTGCTGTGCCAGGCCACGCCGAGCTCAGGCAGCGCGAGGGCAGGGCCCTGCGCTGCCGTGGGCGAGCCGGGCGTGGCGAGAGCGGAGACAGCGCGAGAAGGAGGGAAGAAGGCAGGGCTGGGCGTGTGCTTCCGCTGCCTGGGTACATGCTGACCGGGACGGCACGTACCCACACCCACGCCCGCGTGGAGGGGTGGCAGGGCTCCGGCAGGGCACCGGGGGCAGGCTGAAGCCTGGAGAACCAGGTGGCACAACAGAGCACATTGCACTCCAGGGCAGGACCAAGCGGCATCGGTAGGGCTGCTGGGCTGGGAGAGCAGGGAGCTGTGGGCCTGGGCTGAGGGCACCGGCAGAGCAGGGAGCTGTGGCGTTGGGATTGGGGGGCTATGCCAGAACAGCACATGGGCAAGCCTGCTCAGTGCCTGCCCACCCTGGGTTTGGCTCTGGCACCTCTGAGGCCTCGGCTTTTCAGAGCATTCAAATCGCGCTGGAGCAGGAAGAGGCTCGAGCACGTGACGTGGGGTCTTGCAAACGCTGCTTCTGGGAGCATCCTGCTGCCCCAGGCACAGGCCTCCCTCATCCCCCCAGAGGCAGCAGCAGCCCAGCAGCTTGTGGAGCTGAAGGACACCGGTGTCCTTCAACCCACGGGGGGCGCCGAGGCTGCCATGGGGGCACCTGAGTCCTGCTCTGTCCCAGCTGCCTGCCTGTCTGGCCAGGGCAAGGGGGTCTCTGCCCCAGCAGACCCCCCTCGAGTTAATAGCATCTGTAACTACTGGGAGGGGAGCAACCCGGGGCAGAGGGGCTGGCACGTCCCCAGTGCTGGCCCTCCGGGGAGCTGAGCGCCGCGGACATAGGGGGCAGGACATCGCGTGCCCGACACCCCGGAGATCTCACTCTGTGAGATCTGCAAAGCCAGCTGGGCTTGGGCCTTGTCCACTGGGCTGCTGGGAGTGGCAGGTATGTCCTTTCTGGCTAGGACACAACAGAGCTGTGGGGAGGAGGTCCTTTGTTAAGGAAACGAAGATTTGAACCCTCCACCGTGAAAACCAGCTGCACAAAGGCTAAGGGGCCAATTCCTGCCAGAGCGCTTGGCAGGGATGGACTGGAGCGGGCAGGGAGGAGCGAGCGCTGTAGCGTGTGGGCGCTGGGACGGAAACGGGCGTCGCGTGGGCTCTGGGTTTCGGCCTCGCGGGCACACAGCTGACTCTGGGGTGGAAGAAGCGGCTGCCGAGCAGCGGAGAAAGGCTCCGGGCAGGCAGGAGGACACCTCCCTCTCTTCCACGGGGAATATAGCTCCTTTCTAATGGGCAAAATGCCAACAGCTCTGTAGGCACCAGGTCCCCGGCGTGCCCAGCTCCTGGACTCTCATGTGAAGGCAGGAGCGGTGATGCCCCCTGATGCAGCCCTTGCACTGGGCATCCAGCACCTCCGGTGAGTCCCCAGTACCACCCCCATTGCACACCAGGCCAAGCACGATGCCACGGGACCCCTGTCCGGGAGAGGGTCCGGGGCACCTCGGCCATCTGACATGCACGCGCCAAATGTTAGTAAGAAAGGGGGGAAGGAGCATTAGTTTGCACAAGCCGCATGGCCCCTGCCAATACCCCAGCCCAGCAGAAACCCCGAGCTCCCTCCCAGCCTCGTCTGGAGACGGGAGAGGAGCTGCACGGGCAGGAGCTGCCCAAAGCAAGAGCAAGCCCGGCCCTGGCGCCTGGGGAGGGGAGAGAGGTGCAGGAGGAAGCAGAGAGGAGACGGAAAGGCTTCTTACTCATCAATCTTATCGGGGAAGCCCCAGCAGTGCTGGGGGTTGGTGTCTCCATGCCCCGTGTGGATGAAGCTGTTTTTAAGCGGCTGGCTGATGTCGTGGGCCGACAGCCCGGCCACCGAGGTCACCGTGTTTCGGGGGAACTGCCCCACGTTTAGGGTCCGCTTATTCTGACCCCGCCACCAGTAATTCTCGGCCCTAAGGAACAAAAAGGCCCTCGTTACTGACAGCAGAGAGAGTCCGGCTCTGGTCTATGCCGCCCAGTGGGGGCCCCCGGCCCTGGGAGGCCAGGGGGGTGGGCATCTCACAGCCTGTCTGGAGCAGGGGATGCCACTGACGCCGCCAGGGAGCACCCACCTGCTGGCATGTCGAGGCTAAGTGACTGGCCCAAGGGCATAATGGCAGTCAGTAGCAGAGCCAGAGTCCTGACTCTCACCAGTGGAGTGCACTCCCCATAGAGAGCCAGGAGAGGAACCCCAGAGTCCTAGACCCTCTTCCCATGAGTCGGTCGGCTCTCCCCGAGCCTCATCAGAGGATCGCAAAGACCTTGCAGGTGAGGGAAGTGGCGGGCTCCGCTCCTGCCGGCACCACGGAGTGGGCAGGGGCAGGGATCGGTGCCCTCTGCACATGGGTATGACCAATACCCCTGCAGATGCCACCGGGAATTGGACCCACGGGCCAAAGCTGTGGCCAGGGCAACCAGCCAGGACTGGTCATGAAGGGAGATGGGCACGCTGCTCAGGTGTGCCCTCCCAGCCCCTGGGCCCAGCGGGCAGCAGCTGCCCCAGGCAGGGAATAGCCGACTTCCTGGGAAAGTGTTACCTGCCAGGCTGTGGGCACATGCGTGTGGATGTGGCATGCGTGCGTGCATGCACACGTGTGTATATGGCACACGTGTGCATAGCTGCACCGCTGCCCCCTTACTGCCCACACTCCGAGCTCACTGCCGCAAACCTGCCAGACCCTTTTACCAACCGTGGGCCCCGTACGGGGTGCAGGGCTGGCTCCACGGCAGGCTGGGCGGCAGGTCCCAGCGGGGGCTGCTTCTCACCCTCCAGCAGCCCCCGGCCCTGTGAAAGCCCTGCCAGTCCCTCAGATGACCCCCGCGTTGCACGCAGGGGGACGGGGCATGTCCCGCAGATCGCTGTGCCAGGAGAGCCCACGCTCGCCTTTGCCTGCGGCTGCCAGGGACACGGATGCAGAGCCAGTTGTGCTGGGGCAGGATAAAGCCCCCTGCTCCCCGCTGGCTTAGCTGCTATCAGCCAAGCAGGCTGGACCGTCTGCCCACGGTCACCTGCAGGTGAACCAGGAAGCAAGCTCTAAGCCAAACACTTCCCTGAGGACTGCTAATCCTATTAGGAGAATAAACCATAAAGCAATTTGCGCCATTAATAAACAAACCAGCATGCCAGGCGTCAGGACCCTTGGCACCGGCGTGTCGTCACCCGGCACTGACATGCAGCCACCTCTGGGGTGTAGCTGGCACCTCCCGGTGACAATGCATGTCACAGGGCATGGAAGTGATGGGGTGACGTGCCGGTGCCCAGCTGGAACATGGCTGCAGTGCCAGGGCTGAGCCCTGCTTGGTGCACAACTGTTACGGGATGTTTAAAGGCCACCAGTGGCCAGGAAAGTACCCCCAGCCCTGTCCCAGGATGGGCAGCACCTCCTCCTGGCATCAGTGCTCCTGTGTGCCACAGTGGGGCACGAGGCAGAGCCCCCCTGCCCCAGGGAGAGGGGTGGGAGTGGGGCAGGAGCTGCCCTGAGCTGGTGTTTCTAGAGAGCAGGGGATGGAGCTGCTCCCACCCTGCCTTCTGAATGCCCTGGCCCACGGCAGTGATGCCAGCTCAGCCCGCGTACCCTGCCGTTTCCTGGAGGTACCTGTGACTCAGCTGGTCGTGGCTCGGCCCTTTCCTGTTTACCTCCCCCGGCAGTCGGAGAGCCGCAGGGGAGCAGGGCCCAAGCAGCCGCGGCTCCGCTCCGCTCCGGGGCGGGCGGCCAGGATGTTACTCAGCCAGACCCCGGAGCGAGCAGAGGCAGCATCTCACTGGCGACATGCCCTCCCTCGCCCACGGGGCCTCACAGGGGAGGCGAGCTGCCCCCTCCTGAGCCCCTCGGGGTTTGCACAACCGTGACCTGAGCAAACCTATGTGCCCGCTGCTCCCTGCCAAGTCCAGACCTCCCCCCGCCCCGGTCCCTCTGCTGCCACCTCCGTCCTGCCTCCACAGCCACACTTGTGTGAGAGCGGACACCGCTCATGTCATGGAGCCGAGAGCCCTTCGCCCTGTCGCGGGTAGGAAAAGGGCCGTGTCGTCCCAGCTGGGGAAACTGAGGCACCGGGCTGCTCGGCCAATCCTCAGCAGCACCCGGGCATTAACCCTGGATGGGGTGAGGCTGCCCCAGGTGTGCAGGAGCTCCCTGCCAAAGCCAGTGGTGGTATCGGGCCCCGCACCCGACCCATCTCCGAAGCTCCAGGCACGCCAGGATCCAGCTCCCCCCTCTCCCCTGCCAGCCCCCCGGTCCTGGCTCCCCAACGTGCCTGCTTTCCCCTCTCAGCCCCGGGGCTCCTGGCCCGGGAACTGGGCATGGCCTGAGAATAAACCATAAAGCATACAGCAGCCCCTCGACACCCACGCTGCCCCCCGAGAGCTGCCGAATGCCCAACCCAGCCTGCTATCCTATTCCCTCTCTGCCGGGCAAGGAAACTGAGGCATCACTCACCCGCCTGCAGTCACCAGCATGAAAGGGGAGATACCTCCGGCATCTGGCCCCCCACCACCCCTTCAGGCCTCCCGGCTTGAACTCTGCATCCCCCCAGACTCGCAGCCCGCCACCCTGCCCCAAGCAGACTCGTCCCGGCTGATGGAGACCGCGGCCCGCGGAGCCAGGGTCTCACCAGAGCCGGATCCTCCAGCAGGGCGAAGGGAGCCGAGGCCGGGACAGGAGAGCGTGCCGTGCTGTGCCGGGCGTCGGAGAGAAGTGGCTGTGAGCTCTGGCCCGGGCGTGATGCACTGAGGCAACGTGCACACACTGCTCCGGGGCGAGCTACGCCCGCACGCCCACTCCCTGCTTGCAATTACCTCGCCGGGGCCCTGCGCACGCACGACTCATCGCAGGAGGGAGGGAGGGAGGGAGGGGAGCCAGTCCCTAAAGACACACAATCCCGCCTGATTCATCCCCAGGCCGTGACTAACCGTCCTCGCCCGGAGGACGCCTGCTCTGGGAAGAGCCTCTCCCAGGCCAGGAAGGTGACGGAGCAGAGGGCGGACGCGGCTCTGGGGTCACTGTCCCCGGCTACAGCCGCCCCCCGCAAGCCTGGCCTGGGATAGGGAGAGGGGTGGAGGCTTAAGGCGGGAAGGAAATGAGCCGAGGTGGGACGGTGAGACCCGTCTGACCGGGGGAAGCCACGCACGTGTGTCCCACGCATCTGCCATGGGCACATACACATCCTGAAGCGATGGGCACAGCCTGGTGCCTGCGCCTTGCACCGAGCCCTGCACACCTCCCAGCCCCAATCCCTGGCTCTGGGCAGCCCAGCTGGCCGGGGGAGCCTGGCGCTGGGAGACGGGCCGGCCGCTTGCCCTGGCTCGTACATCCCTGGGTGCCCACGGTGCCTGATGGAGGTGGGAGGATCTCAGTGGCACAGCAAAGGCAGAGGAGGCTCTGGGGAGCCCCTGGTTCTCGCCCCTCCGGCAAGACACCCCATTGCTCAGTGCCTCGGTTTCCCCGAGGGCGAGACACTGACTCATGGTGGGGAGGCGGGTTGCGAGGCAGGGCTGAAGCCGCTCGCCTGGTGGAAGGAGCCAGGGAAGGGGCTTCCTCCCACGCCCCGCTGCTGGGAACGGGCTGGGCTGTCCCTGAGCAGATCAGATAACCGCGGGCAGCAGGTGGGGTGGGGCACGGCGCGGCCAGGAGGGCAACCAGGCCGGCCCCGTGGCACCCTGGAAGATGACTCACAGCAGGGCCACAGGTACAGGGGGAGCGGGGCCAAGGAGCTGCTCATGGGGACAGCCTCCTGGTGCTCTCAGCCCCCAGACGAGCCACGGACACAGGCGGAGCGGTGGCACCAGAGCCTGCCAACATACCGGCGTCCCTGCGCATGCCCTGCCCGCTGTGTGCAGTGCTGGGGACTCTGCTACTGACACACTGCGTGGCCTTGGGTGCTTCCATTTGCTGTGACTCAGTTTGCCCTATGGAGTCCAGTCCTATATGTTGCCCCCCCACCTGGGGCACTGTAAGGGCTTGTCAGCATGAGGCCACAAGATGCCAAGCTACAGGTGAGGTGGCGGTGGTCCTAGGTGTCTGTCAGGGCAGGGGGGGGAGCGCAGCATGCACCTGGTTCATAGATTCATAGATGTTAGGGTCGGAAGGGACCTCAACAGATCATC